TGGTAGCACAACAATGTGAAAGTACTAATGTTACTGAATTGTGCACTTAAAAAGAGTTAAGATGGTAAATTTTATGATATGTGTATTTTACCACAATGTTTAAAAAATCAACTAGCGGCCAGATGCAGTGACTCGTGCCGGTAATCCCAGCACTTTGGGAGGTCGAGGCGGGTGGATCGCGAGGTCAGGAGTTCAAGACCAGCCTGGCAAATATGGTGAAACCCCATCTCTACTAAAAATACAAAAATTAGGCGGGCATGGTGGCACGTCTGTAGTCCCAGCTACTCAGGAGGCTGAGGCAGAAGAATTGCTTGAACCCGGGAAGTGGAGGTTGCAGTGAGCCAAGATCTCACCACTGCACTCCAGCCTGGGTGACAGAACGAGACAGTGTCTCAAAAAAAAAAAAAAAATGCAACTAGCCCAGTGTTCAGTCTGGCCTCTCAAAACTATGAACTTTTGCCCTCTATTTCTAGTTCCCTGGCCTTGCCATCCACTTTTTTTCTTTCTTTCTTTCTTTTTTCTTTTTTGAGACAGTCTCACCCTATTGCCAGGCTGGAGTGCAGTGGTGTGACCTCGGCTCACTGCAACCTCCACCTCCTGAGTTCAAGGGATTCTCCTGCCCCAGCGCCTGCAGGTGGGACTATAGGCGTGCGCCACCATGCCCAGCTAATTTTTGTATTTTTAGTAGAGATGGGGTTTTACCATGTTGGCCAGGATGGTCTCAATCTCTTGACCTCATGATCAGCCCGCCTTAGCCTCCCAAAGTGCTGGGATTACAGGCGTGTTCCACCGTGCCTGGCCGCCATCCACTTTTTATATACACCACCCTGTTTTCCACCGTTTCTCACGATGGCCAGCCCATGTGGACTCTGCCTGGCACTGTGCATATACTCTTGTCATCCAGTGCAAGAGGAAGGACTTAATTGCAAGATATCCTGGACTCCCACCGCCACAGAACCTTCTCATAACACTCCACCCCACAGTATGCTCTGGGATCATCACAACTCTTTGCCAAGCAAACCTGGGAAAGTTCAGCCCTTCCATTACTCCTTGTGGTTGGTGATGGACAAGTAGAGAGAGCCTGAAGCAAAGGAGTTACACATGACCTCCCCACTCAGTGTGCTTGGCACACCATAGGAGAAAAACCTCAACATTCTTTGAGGGCCCAGTTTGGCATTTTAAAAACTATATTTTTTTCTGTCTCTCCAGCCTCTTACGTTTTTTTTTGGTTTTTGTTTTTTGTTTCAGACAGTCTCATTCTTTTTCCCAGGCTGGAGTGCAGTTGTGTGATCACAGCTCACTGCCACCTCAAATCCCTGGGCAGAAGCAATCCTCCTGCCTCAGCCTCCTGACTATTAAGGACTATAGGCACATACCACCAAACCTGGCTAATTTTTAATTTTTTTTTTTTTTTTTGGTAGAGATGGGATCTCACTTTGTTGCCCAGGCTGATCTCAAACTCCTAGGCTCAAGCAGTCCTCCTGCCTCAGCCTCCTCAAGTGCTGGGATTACAGGCATGAGCCACTGCACCTAGCTGCCTCTTGACCTCTGACCAAAGTGCTCATTTCCCATTTTCTGGTCTTAAATCTCCCTTCAGAGTTGCGTGCTCATCTTCTTACCTATTACTTCAGCTTCTCTGTTATTTCAATCCAAATGTCACCTCCAACTGCATAGCCTAAAGCTTGGTCCTAGGGAGTGTCACTCACAGCAGGCCCCTCTAGACTGTTATGACATAACTACGGCCACATACAGCAAACTTGGGAGGTAGGAGGCAATGTAGGTATGTCCATGCTATCAATTTAGCATTTTCTTGACTTTAATTCATATTTAGATGAGGTGACTGTCTTAGTCCATTTGGGTTGCTATAACAACAGAAATGTATTTCTCACAGTTATGGAAGCTGGGAAATCCAAGATCAAGGCACTGGAGGATTTGGTCAGATATGCTGGCTCACACCTGTAATCCCAGAACTTTGGGAGGCTGAGGTGGGCAGATCGCTTGAGCCCAGGAGTTCATGACCATCCTGGGCAACATGGTGAAACCCTGTCTCTAAAAAAAAAAAAAGGCACTGGCAGATTTGGTGTCTGGTGAGAGCCTACTTCATAGAAGGCACATTTCAATGTGTCCTCACATGGTGCAAGGGACAACTGAGCTCCCTCAGCACTCTTTTATGATGACACTAATCCCTTTAGTTCTCATGACCTAATTACCTCCCAACAGCCCACCTTCTAATACCATCACTTTAGGGGTTAGGATTTCAACATATGAATATTAGAGGGATACAAACATTCCAACTATAGCAGTGACCAAGTTAAAAATTTGGGTCATAGGCTGGGCACAGTGGCTCAAGCCTGTAATCCCAGAACTTTGGGAGGCTGAAGTGGGATCACCTGAGGGCGGGAGCTTGATACCAGCCTGACCAACATGGAGAAACCCGTCTCTACTAAAAATACAAAAATTAGCCGGGCATGGTGGTACATGCCTGTAATTCCATCTACTCGGGAGGCTAAGGCAGGAGAATCACTTGAAGCCGTGAGGAGGAGGTTGCAGTGAGCCGAGATTGCGCCATTGCACTCCAACTTGGGCAACAAGAGTGAAACTCCATCTCAAAAAAAAAAAAAAAAATTGGGTTGTATTAGAAGAAGTCCTGGCCGGGTGTGGTGGCTCATGCCTGTAATCCCAGCACTTTGGGAGGCCAAGGTGGGTGGATCACGAGCTCAGGAGTTCAAGACCAGCCTAGCCAACATGGTGAAACCTCCTCTCTACTAAAACCATAAAAACTTAGCTGGGAAGGCCGGGCGCGGTGGCTCAAGCCTGTAATCCCAGCACTTTGGGAGGCCGAGGCGGGCGGATCACAAGGTCAGGAGATCGAGACCACAGTGAAACCCCGTCTCTACTAAAAATACAAAAAATTAGCCGGGCGCGGTGGCGGGCGCCTGTAGTCCTAGCTACTCAGGAGGCTGAGGCAGGAGAATGGCGTGAACCCAGGAGGCGGAGCTTGCAGTGAGCCGAGATCGCGCCATTGCACTCCAGCCTGGGCAACAGCGTGAGACTCCATCTCAAAAAAAAAAAACTTAGTTGGGTGTGGTGGTGGACACCTGTTATCCCAGCTACTTGGGAGGCTGAGGCAGGAGAATTGCTTGAACCTGGGAGGTGGAAGTTGCAGTGAGCTGAGATTGCACCACTGCACTCCAGCCTGGGTGACAGAACAAGACTCAGTCTTGGAAAAAAATAAAATAAAATAAAATAAAAGAGTTCCTATATACTTTTGTTTTTACCCTTTTGTTAACGTTAAAAATTTTTTTTTTGTTTTTTTTTTTGTTGTTGTTACTTGTCTCTGACCCCTCTACTCTGGAATTAACCACCTGTTTTAATTTTCCTAGATCCTTTTAAAACTTAAAGGTGGTTTGCAGACTATTAGCGTTAGCATCACCAGGAGAGGTTGTTAGCAATTCAACATCGCAGTCTCCAGCTCAGGCCTAGCAAATCAAGATCTGCAGCTTAATAAGATCCCCAGGTGAGTTGTATGTACATTAAAATTAGAACTGTTCCAGAAAGATTCTAACTGCTCTTGTTGGAACAATGGGTCTCTACCCTCACTGTTCATTAGAAGAATCTCAGAAGCGTTTAAAACATACTGATTTGGCCTGGCACAGTGGCTCATGCCTATCATCCCAGCACTTTGGGAGGCTGAGGAGAATTGCTTAAGATCAGGAGTTTGAGACCAGCCTGGGCAACATAGCGAGACTCCTCTCTACACACACCCTCAACCCCCTCCCTGTCACCCCCACCCCACCGCCACCCCCAGGCAAAAAAAAATTAGTCAAGCATGGTGGCATGTGCCTGTAGTCCCAGCTACTTGGGAGGCTGAGGTGGGAAGATTGTTGGAGCCCAGGAGTTCACGGCTGCAGTGAGCCATGATTGCTCTGCTGCACTGCATCCTTGGCAACAGAGACCCTGTCTCTCTCTAAAAACAACAAGCATAGCTACTGATTCCTGTGATCCACCACCAGATTCTGATTTCATCCATCTATGGGAGGCCTAGGCATTGGTGTTTGTTATGTTTTTTTCATTTCTTGTATGTGTTTTTGTTTGTTTGTTTCCTCTGTACAGATGATGTCTTTTATTCTCTAGGAGATCTTGATAGTTAGCCAGGCTTGAGAACCACTGAGTTGTGACTAAGAGAAAAATATCATGGAGAATACCATAGGTTGTGAGCTCGTTTACAGTTTGTGAAAAACAGATTATTAAATTTGGGTAGGTCTTAACCTTAATATATGACTTGTTTTCTATTTCCTTAGTCCCTAGGGTATGTGTCTCAACAGCTCTTAACTTCTATTAAGTAGTGTCCAGGACTTCCAACCAAGTCTCATGAGAGGGTCATGCTCCTGTCCCAGTGCCCAGAGCTGGTGCTGCTTCCTGCTGCTGCTGAAGCCCCAGCTGCAGAGCACTGATGGGATCAGCTATCACCACCACCTTGGTTGCTGGTGCGATGTTTGGTTGATGCCCCTAGAGACTCACGTGCCCTGAAATGAGCACATGATGCTTTTACATACTCCCTGAAAATCAACCCTGTGGCCGTGACATACCAGCCCCAACAACCAAAACAACTTTGGTAGCCCCATCAGTCTGTGACTTCTAAATTTTCTTTAGCATCTTCCCATTTTTTTCCTTTTTTTTTTTTTTTTTTTTTTTTTTTTGTGAGACAGAGTCTTGCTCTGTCGCCCAGGCTGAAGTGCAGTGGTGCAATCTCAGCTCACTGCAACCTCCACCTCCCAGGTTCAAGCGATTCTCCTGCCTCAGCCTCCTGAGTAGCTGGGATTACAGGTACAGGCCACCACGACTGGCTTTTTTTTTTTTTTTTTTTTTGTATTTTTAGTAGAGACGGGGTTTTGCCATGTTGGCCCGGCTGGCCTCGAACTCCTGACCTCAAGTGATCTGCTGGCCTTGGCCTCCCAAAGTGCTGGGGTTACAGGCGTGAGCCACCGTGCCTGGCCTCCATTTTCCTCTGTTTTTTCAGAGAGCCCAGGCGCCTGGCCTCCATTTTCCTGTTCTTTCAGAGAGCGCAGGCAGAAGCTATTATCATCAAAAGTGAGTTTAAGACTAGTGAGCCTCCCTTGCCACCTGGGTCTCACCTCTCCTGAGGACATGCTTTGCTTTTTGTCATCACAGGTAAGTAGATGAAGGTCTCCCTGTAAGGCTATGTACATATTTACATATTCACTCATATTCTTCCTTTGCATCCCAGAAACTAATTTTTAGCAGATTTAAAGCAGATTTTTTAGTCAATGTTAGAAAACATTTTTTAATGTATGAAAGTGAAATTCAGTGTAATTAATTTATTAAATCTTAATTGAATTCCTGCTGTCTCCATCACCAGAAAATGACTGCTACGTTTTCTATTGTTATTCGAAATACTCATCTTCTTTATAAATATTTTGACATTTTTTGAAATGCCAAAAATATGCATGGTGTGTGCTATGTAGTCAAGAATTAGCACTTTTGCTTTGGCATAAAGCAAATTTCAGGTGGGGAAAGGAGGCAGTTGATAATGAAGATTTTAAAAAGTAGAATTAGGTTAAAATGGTTATTTTTATTAACATAATCTGTTTCAAGATAGGGTCCTAACAACTTGATTTCTCTATAAGAAATGTCCCCTAAATGATGGTGGGTCACTTTTGGAGTTGAAAATTCTGGCTTCTAATTAAATATGTGTGGTTGAGCAAGTCAGTCTTTTTCTGCCTCAGAGTATTTATCTGTAAAATTAGGAAGTTGCACCAAGAGTCTGATAAAGCACCTTCCAGCTCTAAAAGTCAATGATTCTATGAATGCTCAGCTACATTCTATATCACCAAAAGGTAGAAACGGTGTCTTCTATTTTTTCCTAACTCCGGATTTTGCCATCATATGGAAAACAACAAAAATAAAGGTAATTAAAAATAGGAAAGAAATGGACTTAAAATTATGCCATCTGATGTCTCAGGCATTTTCATTTTATGTTCCATTCTGGTCCTTGAACATATGTATACATAATTTTACATAGTTGCAATCATAAAATAGGTAAAATGTTATATTTGGCCTACTTCACTTAACATTATGTAACTTTAATATCACCATTATCACTGATAATTATAGTTTAAATGGCCACATGGTATTCCGTTTCATTGATGTATCATAGTTTACTTTAAAAGTCCCTATATTTGGAACTTTAGACTGCTTTCAATGTTTGATACCATAAAGAAGCTACAGCAAATTTTTTATTCATATGGCTCTTTCTTTTGAATAACTTTCTAAGAATAAATTTCTAGGAGTGTAATTACTGAATTAAAGGGAGCCTCTTTACCATTGTTTATAAGTATTAGCAAATGGCTTTCCTGAAAGCTTACACTGATTTACATTGTTGCCACCACATCTGAGAGTGATAGTTTAAGCCTCCCCAAAGGTGTGGTATGAAATTAATTAATGTTTTAATTTACATTTCTCTGATAACTGGCAATCTTGAACATTTTTTCATTTGAGATTGCATTTTATCTTATGCGAATTGTCTGCTTGTACCCTTTTCCATTTATCTGACTGTGAAACCATAGGTGAGTCACTTAACCTCTCTGCGGCTTGGTTTTCTCATCGATAAGCAGGATAATAATAATTTCTATCTCAGAAATGTTGTATGGATTTCTCGATGTAAAGTATATAGAATAGTACTTGATATATGGAGAACCTTTTAAAAAATGTTAGTACTAGTTGTATTAGAACATTCCTGATTTTCGTTACAATTTATGATTTCCTCTGGTATTTGTATAAATGCATAAATATCTTTGATTAACTTAGAAGTCTTTATAAAACATAGATGTAATCATTTGGTCTGCTGGGTTTGGCTAAGTGTCTTTCTCTGTTGTTTTAATTACTGTATTGGTTTTGTGTGTATGTTCAGGCATGCACATATGAGCGTACGAGTATGTATTTTCTCACAAGTCCAGAAACACAGAGTCTATGCCAAAGGGGCAGCTCATAAAAATGTTAACTGCCTGACAGTGCTCAGAATGGTGCATCATCTCTGTTGAATAACTGTTCAACCAAATCATTTAGAAAAATACCAAACAAGCAAAATCAAACCACATACATACACGCACTCACAAAATCAAAACCAAACCCAAACCATGCACATACTCACGTGCACATTACAAACAAAATGTTTTAAGCCAGAGAGAGAAAAGATATTGTAAACCACATAAATTATTTCTCTTTAAGAATAACTGATTCTTTTTCTTTTTTTTTTTTTGAGACTGAGTCTTGCTCTGTCGCCAGGCTGCAGTGCAGTGGCACGATCTCGGCTCACTGCAACCTCTGCCTCCTGGGTTCAAGCGATTCCCCTGCCTCAGCCTCCTGAGTAGCTGGGACTACAGGTGCCCGCCACCATGCCCAGCTAATTTTTTGTATTTTAGTAGAGACGGAGTTTCACCTTGTTGGCCAGGATGGTCTCGATTTCCTGACCTCGTGATCCGTTCGCCTCGGCCTCCCAAAGTGCCAGGATTATAGGCGTGAGCCACCGTGCCTGGCCATAACTGATTCTGTATATACAATTGTTGCCTAATTCCTAGCGTACTGAGATCCTATTTATTTATGTATTTATTTTCTGAGATCTAATTTAGACCATGGAGAGGAAAAACATAAAGGTGGTATTAATAAACTGCTTTGGGGAGTAAAAGAACCTCTTAGAATCCACGACATCATGGATGGAAGAGATCCTTGAGGAGGGAATGAAGCACAGCTCAGAGTGGGAAGGTTAGCAGTGTTGAAGACCAAGTTATTCATCCCTACATGAGTCAATTGAAAGAAAAGAATTAAAAGCATTAAAAAAAACAATATGAGTAATGGGAGGAACTGATGAAGCCTGCTGCCCAGATGAGGATTGGAAACTATTTAAACTGGATAATACAGTGTGTGTTTTGGCTCTGAGAAAACAGAAGTTGAACTTTTGAGTAGTAATCAAGGGCATGGTCTCAAAGTGTTTGCAAATAGTGCTGGTATGGAGAACAGATGCCGACATTATTGCCAATGGGAATCACAGTAAGAGACTAAAAGAAACCACAGGAAATTTTTGCAGAAAGCTTGGCATTGAGAATGATTTATGGTTGATTTAAGAAGGAGACAAGGAAAATAAGGCTACAGTGTATACCATCTGACTGCTGTAGACCAAGGATGTAAACAGTTAGCCATGGCTTTCCAGCCTCCTGGAAATCAGGATTCTGCTCATACAGAAAGGCGCCAGAATGTTTGTCTGAGTTAAGTGCATACTTCTTTTTTAGTATCTAAGAATAGTTATCCTCCTTTCCTCTCCCATTACTGCTTGGGTATCCTTAAAAATCCTCACCAGCTATTAAGTATCATGGAGTTACGCAAAGAGGTCTGCAGGGAACTTGATGGCTTCCCAAAGCAGATCAGAGAAACTCCCAGGAGGCCCTAGGCTTGAAAGGTGAGCAGCTCTATTTTGTTGCTGTTATGTGTGTGATGTACTTTTATGTTAGAAAACTGAGGTTTGGAGGATTTAGGAGAGTGAGGTGAATCTTCCAAAAATATCTAACAAAGTATGCTGAGAAGGTAAGTTAGAGCGGAAAACACGTGACCATTCCTTGGCCTTGGGTCACTTAAGTTATAACCTCCCTTCAGAGAGTAGAAAACAAACATTGCCTCTGAGACAAAAATAAGAACTTCTTTTTGTTTGTTGGTTTGTTTGTTGTGAGAGAGGGTCTCGCTCTGTCACCCAGGATAAAGTGCGGTGATGTGATCATGGCTCACTGCAGCCTCAACCTCCTGGGCTCAGGTGATCCTTCCACTTCAGCCTCCTGAGTAGCTGGGACCACAGGTGCGTGCCAGTACACCTGGCTACTTTTTAAATTTTTTTTAGAGACAGTGTCTCCTTATGTGGCCCAGGCTGTTCTCAAACTCCTGTCCTCAAGCCATCCTCCCACCTCGGCCTCCCCAAGTGCCGGCATTATAGGCGTGAACCGCCATGCCTGGCCAAAATAAGAAGTTTTTGAGCTATCCTATAGGGTATCTGAGTTTTGAAATGGGAAAAGAGAGATATATTTGACTAAAAGTAGTAGGATTTTCATATGAGAGAGATAGTCTAGAGGGAGGTCAGTGCTGGTCCTCAAGTCCTTGTGACTACTAGAGAAATATAAGGGAAGAAGATGAAAAACAGTAACAACCAAAATGTTGCCAAAGGTTAAAAACAATGAGCCTGTGACAATGCTTTCTGAATAGCAAAGGAAGCAGATTAGATGAGGAAAATTATGTTAGGCTTTGTGCCCAGAAACCTGAGCCAATGAAGCCTATCAGTGACCAGAGTTCCATTACCTTAGGAAACTGACTCCAGGCTCTCTCGTCATGTCTGTTTATAGGCATTCTCCCCACATTCATATCTCGCCCTTATTTCCTAGTTGTGTTTCCTTTGAAAACTTATACTCCTTGAGCCTGTGCTAAGACTGCAGAGGTCCATCCAAACCTGGACCACAGTAGCTAGCGAGATCCAAGTGTACCCTTGGTGTGCAGGGTGCCCGTCTCAGGAGCATAGTCAGAGAAGAGCTGTTACAGCAAGGGTAGATGGAAAGGTGAGGATTCTCTCTGTCTGCCTGCATTGTCCTCTCCACCCTCTTGTTTTCTTGGCAGAATCCTTGATCATTCAGGATCTACTCAAATGTTATTATCTATTATCTCTCTGTAAACCCCATTGATGGAAAGAGCTCTATTCCCACGGCATCTTGTACACAGCATTAATTACGCATTTGCTGCATTGTTTTCTAATAGTTTGTGTGTCCATCTTTCTTACAGGACCATCATCTCTAAGATGTTAGGGACTGTATTTTGCATCTATCTCCAGCCCTGAAGCAGTACCCAGAAGTACCTTGTGCTGTATGGAAGCTGTCAGCTACATGTGGGTATTGAGCACTTGAAATGTGATAAATTCCAACTGAGATTGTTGCGAGTGTAAAACACACATCAGGTTTTGTCAACCTAGTATGAATAAGAGAATGTAGGCTGGGTACAGTAGCTTATACCTGTAATCCCAGCATTTTTGGAGGCTGAGGCAGGCAGATCACTTGAGGCCGGGAGTTCGAGACCAGTCTGGCCAACATGGCAAAACCCTGTCTACTAAAAATACAAAAAATTGGCCAGGCGTAGTGGTGAACGTCTGTAATCCCAGCTACTTGGGAGGCTGAGGCTCAAGAATCACTTGAACCTGAGATGCAGAGGTTGCAGTAGGCCGAGATCGCACCCCTGCACTCCAGCCTGGGCAACACAGTAAGACTCTGTCTCAACGAAAAAAAAAAAAAAAAGAGCCAGGCATGGTGGCTCATGCCTGTAATCCCAGCACTTTGGGAGGCCGAGGCGAGTGGATCACCTGAGGTCGGGAGTTCGAGACCGTGCTGGCCAACATGGGGAAACCCTGACTCTACTGAAAATGCAGAAATTAGCCAGGCATGATGCAGGCACCTGTAATCCCAGCTACTCAGGAGGCTGAGGCAGGAGAACCATTTGAACTCAGGAGACGGAGGTTGCAGTGAGCTGAGATCTCACCACTGCACTCCAGCCTGGGTGACAAACAGAGACTGTCTCAAAAAAAAAAAAAAAAAAGAGAGACAGAGAATGTAAACCATCTCACTAATAAATTTTTATGATTACATGTTAAAATGATAATATTTGGGATGTATTGTGTTAAATAGGATATATTATTAAAATTAATTGTATCTGCATCTTTTTACTGTCTTACATGGCTACTAGAAAATTTAAAAGTATATATATGGCTCCTGTTATACTTTTATTGGACAGGGATGGTCTAGAACATAGTAGAGGCTCGTTTGAGTCAGGGTCTTAGCAGGCAAAAGAAAATACATTCATTTTGGATTTTGAAGAGATGTTAATGAAGGGGCAATTTATAGAAGTGTGGGCAAGGTTAAGGAAACCCACAAAGGATGCTGAGGCACCAAGAGACTAGCAAAAGAGGGGAGCAGTTAGCCTACAAAGGAGAGGAAAAGCCATTACTAGAGCTGGTGAGCACTGGAGGTGCCTAAGAGGAGCACCCAGCAGGAGCTCTAGTTCCCGTCACTGCCAGAACCATATCTTGCTCCCACTGGCTGTAGGGAATCAGAAGCCAGAGGGCAGAGATCCTGGATGATGTAGCCCTTAGGGGACCACTCCCACCACTGCCGGGCAGAGAAGAATGGAGAATAGGTGAGGGCAGGAGGAGAGCATGGGATAAAGAGTAATGAGCACAGAGCTCAGTACATTTGTTCAGTGAATGAATGAAATGAAACTAGTCACTAAGGAGAGAATGGAGGATGGTGCAAAATTAACTTTTTCCCATCTGGGATTATTTTGCAGTAGTCCTTTTCTTTTTTTTTTTTTTTTTGAGACGGAGTCTCGCTCTGTCGCCCAGGCTGGAGTGCAGTGGCCGGATCTCAGCTCACTGCAAGCTCCGCCTCCCGGGTTCACGCCATTCTCCTGCCTCAGCCTCCCGAGCAGCTGGGACTACAGGCGCCCGCCACCTCGCCCGGCTAGGTTTTTTTTTTTTTTTTTTTGTATTTTTTAGTAGAGGCGGGGTTTCACCTTGTTAGCCAGGATGGTCTCGATCTCCTGACCTCGTGATCCGCCCACCTCGGCCTCCCAAAGTGCTGGGATTACAGGCTTGAGCCACCGCGCCCGGCCATGCAGTAGTCCTTTTCAAACTGTTCTGTGACACTGAAGAGTTTAATGAAATTATGTTAGGGGTTCCACAGACATTTCTTTCCTGTTCTAAATATATGTATTTCTAACTATTAAAATACTGCCCTCGAGGATGGGCACGGTGGCTCACATCTGTAATCCCAGCACTTTAGGAGGCCAAGGCAGGTGGATCACTTGAGGTCAGGAGTTTGAGACCAACCTGGCCAACATAGTGAAACCCCATCTCTACTTAAAAGATAAAAATTAGCTGGGCATGGTGGCACATGCCTGTAGTCCCAGCTATTCGGGAGGCTGAGGCAGGATAATTGCTTGAACATCGGAGGCAGAGGTTGCAGTGAGCTGAGACTGTACCACTGCGTTCCAGCTTGGGCAACAGAATGAGACTCCATCTCAAAAAAAAAAAAAAAAGAACTCGCCTAAAGCACAGGAACATGCACATCCAAACGTGTTATATATCAAAATTTTTAACACATGGGAAACAGGTCACACATCAACTTGTGCTGCCAGGTGAATTTTTGTGCAAGCCTAAAAACAAGAGTTCCTCCTGTGTCTTTTGTGGTTTTATTTGAATATTATTTTTTATTCTTTTAATTTTTCTAGTCAGTCTCTGCTTATCCATTAATTGAATATCTTAAATGTGTCACTTATTAACGTTTAGGTCTGCATTAGTGCTTTAGAAAAATTCAGGTCTACACGTGTCCATTTATATAAAATTGCACACATTAGTATACCATTGTAACACATGGGCACAGCTCAATTAAATGCTGAGCAATGTTCAGGAATGTGTATTTGACACATGTTCTTGTCTCATCACGTATCTCACTTGCTATCATGTTTATGTAAAAATGATACATTCATGTTAAGGAATTCTACAATAGCAGATATTGTAGGAATTCAATCTGAAATGCATTTCTGGCCATTTGCATTTGATGTTCCCTATGCTTTGAAAGTACTTCCTTCAGCTCTTGGTAAGGCTGAGATTAAGATGTTCCTTAGTTCTATTTATCCTTTTATCCTTTAGCTTTTAGCTGAAATGTTTCCTCCTTGGGAAAGGCTTCCCTGACCACCTAATCACTTAAGTAGGTTCCCCTCCCCATTCTTTCTTTAAGCATTATTTCAGCCTTCATAGCACTTACCACAATTGGTAACTATTTTGCATAATTACCTCTTTATTGGTTTTTGCCTGTTTCCCTAACAAGAATTTAAATTTCATCAGTGTAGGGATGGGGTCTCTACTTAGCATGGGTCAGGGACTATTTGAGCTTTACCCATATTCATTCATCTACTCACAATCACCTTGTGAGGGCCCCTTTGAGAGACAAGGACACTGAGATGCAGAGAGGGTAAGTGGCCCAGTCAAGGTCTCCTAAGCTATCATATGAGAGAGCCAGGATTCAAACCCAGGAATCAGTGGGGGCCCAAGAGTACAGCAGCATGTTTAACATTAAAGGCTTCCAACTCCAGGCCCCAAAGTGCTAACAAAAACACTGGATTTTTGTTTTTCTTTTCTTTTTTTTTTGAGACAGAGTCTCGCTCTGTCACCCAGGCTGGAGTGCAGTGGCACCAACTCCACTCACTGCAAGCTCCACCTCCCAGGTTCAAGCGATTCTCCTGCCTCAGCCTCCCGAGTAGCTGGGATTACAGGTGCCTTGGCCTCCCAAAGTGCTGGGATTACAGGCATGAGCCACTGCACCCGGCCCAGCAAATACATATTCTTCCAACTCATGGATGAGAAACTGATGTCCACGCATGGTCTGAGACATGGTACTATGTAGCACGTAGGAGAATCGGAATTCCAGGCAGGTGATAGGGCATGATGGTTAGGAGGATAGGTTCAAATCTTCATTCTGCCATTTTTGGGCTGGGTGATCTTTGGAAAGGTACTTAATTTCTCTAGGTCTCAACTCATTTGTAAAATGGGGATAATAGTACCTACCTCATAAGGTTATTGTAATAGTTATAATAATTCACATAACCTAGCACCGTAGGAAGCTTTCAAAAAATGTTAGCCTGGTCAGGCACGGTGGCTCATGCCTGTAATCCCAGCACTTTGAGAGGCCAAGGTGGGAAGATCACGAGGTCAGGAGTTCAAGACCAGCCTGGCCAGCATGGTGAAACCCTGTCTCTACTAAAAATACAAAAAAATTAGTCGGGAATGGTGGTGTGCACCTGTAGCCCCAGCTACTCGGGAGGCTGAGGCAGGAGAATTGCTTGAACCTGGGAGGTGGAGGTTGCAGTGAGCCGAGATCATGCCACTGTACTCCAGCCAACAGAGTGAGACACCATCTCAAAAAAAAAAAAAAAAAAAAAGTATTTGCTGAGCGCATCTGTGTTCTCTGGGTGGAGAGCTGGAGGGCAGGTGTATGTAGACGAATTCATTCTTAGCAGAGGTCACCAGGAAACCTTTTGCTCATTCTGAACTATGTCCTGTCCTCTCCAAATGGTGTTCTTTTTGGGCCTCTCAGTTTAACATTGTCATTTTCCTGTGGAAATGCTGGGAAACACAATATGTGGAAGTTAAACAACATACTCCTAAATAACTCATGGGTCAAAGAACAAAGAAGAAATCAAAAGAGAATCTGAAAATAATTTGAGAGGCAAAAAGTACTTTGAAAGGAGGAAAAATGAAGACACAACATACCAAAACTTAGGGGATAGAACTGAAGCCTCCTGTGTACAGAATAGAGGGGACTTCAAAAAGTTCATGGAAAATTATTAAATTAAAAGATAAAAATGAAAAATATAAGCTTTATTTTTCAACATAAGCTCCATCAAGTCCAAGACACTTTTGTAAACAATGATACCAGCCATTTAATCTTTTCCTAAAGAACGCAGGGTCCTGGGAATGTAACCATGTCAAGGCAGTCTTTTTTTTTCTTTTGAAATGGAGTCTCACTCTGTCACCCAGGCTGGAGTGCAGTGGCATTATCTCAGCTCACTCCAACCTCCACCTCCTGTGTTTAAGCAATTCTCCTGCTTCAGCCTCCCAAGTGACTGAGATTACAGGCATGCACCACTATGCCAGGCTAATTTTTTTTTTTTTTTTTTAGTAGAGACAGGGTTCACCACGTTGACCCACCATATTGACCAGGCTGGTCTCGAACTCCTGGCCTCAAGTGACCCGCCTGCCTCGGCCTCCCAAAGTGCTGGGATTACAGGCGTGAACCACTGCACTCAGCCAGGGCAATCTTTTTTGCATTGTCATCTGAA